TTGATATGATGACATCCAAATTTGCCTCTAAACCTTCCCCCCCCCCCCCCCCGGAGATTAGTTCTATCCCTACATGCTTGATTGATTTCTCCAGTTGGAAATTTATTGTAAGATCGGGACTAATTAATCATGGCTCTTCCAGGCAGTTTTAAAGGAATTCTGTGTATGTGATATATTTCATTTCTGTAAACGTTCTCACTTTATAAGGAAATGAGGATATGTAACCGGTTGTGGTAGCTCTTTCTGTGGAAAAAAATTTCCTAGTTGCACGTCAGCTAGCTACTGTAACCCTTCTCTTTGCCTGAGAAAGTCTGCCCTCTTTTGGGTAAAGTTAGAACTGTCTAAATTGTCGGGACTGCAATGCAAGTGCTTGAGATTGTTCTACTTTGCCTGCAGAAGCTGTTGGATTTCCCCGGATAGCTTTGATGGACCACCATGCTGGTATCAAATTCTATGTAGCTGTGGATTTTGTATTCCAATAATAATCGAAATTTTCAGTAGGGTGTGAAAAATTTGCATTAAAGTTTTAAATATATGCAAATTGTACTGTGTGTTTTCTGTGGGGGTGTGTGTATATACCTATATCTCATACTTTAAAAAAAAAAATATTATGGAAATGTGGGCTTTCCTTATTTCTAACAATTTTATATTCCTGTGAAATTATCTGTCCAGAACTCATTTCTTTTTCTATCAAGTCATAATTTTTCTTGTTAAATCCAGATTGCTTTTAGTGACCTCCTTCTTTTTTGTTGTTTTTTAACTCTTTCCCTAACCAACAGAGTACCAAAGCAACAAAATCTTGGTACTTTAGCAACATAAATTGAAAAAGAAATTTAAAAATCCAGTAGGGTTGGAAGGTTGGTGATAAATCAAATGCCTAGAGCTTTAAAAAGGGCAATGAAAGAAGAAAGTCAGTCCTAGGTTCTGTTCTAGAAAGTACATACTGTAACCTGTAGTCATCAGAATGACATTTGAAAACCTACTAAATAGATTGATTGCAATTCACTCCTGAAGGAGCAGGTGTTCAGATCCCATCAAAAAGGCCAAGGACTGGGCCTGAAATCACTTGCTACCTGCTCAGAACCTGGCAGTGAAACACTTGTGGTTCTTTAGGGTCATATATATATGAGTTCAAATAAAATAGACAGACTGTCTCTGTGCTTAACCAGGCTAGTGGAAAAAAAAAAAAAAAAAGAAGTAGGTTTTATACTTTAAGGTAGCACAGTATTAACTCCTGTCAGTGTTTAGGGCCTAGTGAACTGGAATGTTTGTGTTATTTTAGTAAATTTGAATGTGAATGTTTATAATGCTGTAATGTTTTAAAGACTTGGTCATGGAACAAGATCATGCTGTGCTAAGAGCTTGCACAGCGTGTCTTTACTCCAAAGAACATTGTCTAGGCGTAAGACAAGATAAATTGATGGATATAGGCATCATACTGATATAATGCTACACTACTGGTCAGCAGGACAGAAAGCAAAATTTCTGACCATGTCCAGATAGGTTGTTGTATACATCCTGACATTATATTTTTACTTATAAATGTCATGTGTATGTGATGTTAGTGAAATACTTGAGTTGTATTGACAATTCAAACTAAACACAGAAAATGTAGTCACCACCTTGCTCGATCATGTGTACTTTATTGCCTTGTTAGATAAAGCTGCCCCTTGGCAGCCTTTCCCCATCATCTTTGTTTTATTAATGAGTAGTTTTGCCATGCATTTTGAAAAGGCCATTCCTCTTCTGGCAGATCATGCTTTCTGGGGAGGCTAATGCTGGTTGTCTATGAGATAAGTGATGACTTTCAACATGGGAAAGATGTGTAAGTAATTTATGAATTAAAGCCTTTTATAGGCTATTGAACAAACACATCCAACTACAATAGAACGAAATTATCCCATTACATATTCTTAAAAGAAATTATTTTCTTTCTACTTGCATTTATGGAAGTAGTCCAGCCCAGGGTTTCTTTCACCACAAAATAGTGTCAAAAAGGAAATTCTGTTAGGTTATTTCTGGTCTTCTCTTCTGTTTAACCCCTTCAGGGTTTAGAACTTCTACTTTGTTTTGACAGTCAACATGCTGGTGAAGTGAAAAAAATTTTGGTGGTCCACCAAAGCTATCCATTGTAACAACTCTGTAGTTGTGAGACACATCACTGATATGTCTAAGTTATTCCTCTGGTTCTGAGGATAAGATTAAAGACTATGTGGAATATAGTTCCCTTTGACATTACTGGAGAAACACTTATTAACTTCAGTGGGCTGAAGTCATTGCTCTGCTTTAGAACTGCGTTTATGTTAATAAAATTTGAATATTTTCAAAGGAAAAAAATTACTCAGAGTAAGAAAACAAATATATGATTTTACTGGAAACTTGCTAATGTTTGATTTTTATGTCCTTTAATACAATTACTGTGTTAAGTGTTGTCTGGCAGAACAAGTGAAAGGAATTATCAATATTTTTAAGATTTTTTTCTTCCATCCCTCTCTGAGGTTAAAAATTTGAACTATATTTTGCGAAGTTCCCATTTTTACTCTCAAAAAGAAATTTAAACACCAGCCTGATAAATAAGATTTTTGAGCTTATTTTCATGCTATACAACCACAAGGCATCACTTGTGTTCTTAGCAGATCTGGGGAGGCATTTCCCTTGTCTTCCAGTGCACCTGCCAGTCTTACATTGTCAAATTGTTGAGCTCTGAACACCACAGTGCTGCTCTTCTGGGATGCCTGTGTGAAAGCTAGGGAAATTATAGACTGAGATCTTTATTGCTGTTTCCCATTTCTCAATAGTGGAATGGACTGAATCACAGGATCTGTTGGGAGATTAATATTTTGGTTCAGACTTCATTAGCCTCTCCAAAATGCTATTGTATGTCAAATGAATTTTAGTGGAAAACAGGTCTTTTCTCAGTTCCCTGTTTATTCTTTAGTTTGATAAATTTCTCTTCCCACTGTTTTCAACATTGATATGTCTTCATTTTACCATTGTGCTGTTTAATTAGTTTCCCCTTGTTCTCTTCCACCTCAAAACTCCAGATTTCTCTCTTTTTCACACCATTTGTTTTCACATTGCCTTTTCCTTTTGACATACTAAATTATTTTAAATCTCTGTCAAAGTTGAGACACACAATGTCTGTCTGCTACAGAACTCCTTTCCTTTGCTGCCGAGGCATCTCATTGAACTGAGGTGGTGGTTCTTATCCTGTATTGTGTCATTTCACCGTTTACTACTTCTGTCTCTGCAAAACATTCCTATTCGTGCTGGAGTTCATTATTCTTTTCTCTAGTGTAATCGTTCTAGGACCATTGTCAAACCTGTGTCTTCCTTTCCTCATCTCTCCAAGAAGTCCAGATCAGCTCTTTTCTTTCTCCTTCATTTAGTTGTGGCCACTGTGACCCCCTATCATTGCCTTAGCTAATTTACCACTTTCTCTGTTAGAGTATCTGAAGGCCTCTGCAAAGTTTGGAAGATTAGTTAAAAGTTGCCATAGTGGATAATAGCAAAGTTTGAGCAGGAAAAGTGTTGGTTAGAGTCTGTGTGAGGCGTGAGAAAAATAGAGCAAGTAAGGGTCGAGATGACTCAGTATGTATGGAAACCTCTGTTCTTGAATTGCGTGATTTACCAGTGTACACTTCACAAGGTGCAGCGCACAGTAGATGACAACTTCTTTTGCTAGATCATTCTTGTAGTAAGGTTACTGTTTCCAGAAAAGACACTTTCAAATGGGAATATCCCAAAGCTTAACCACTTAAGTATATTGTGTTCTTGTGGATATTGAGTTCTGGGCATTTCAACCCCTTTGAAAAGCAAAGTATATTTGTCTGTATGTGATAAGGAAGTAAGACTGACAGACCTGATTTTTTTCTTTTGTTGTGGCCAATACGAGGCCTTCACAAATTAGGCAGTTGCCTGCAACATAGCAAAACAGTCCTGAAAGTGTCTTGAGGTGTCCTCAGGGCTTCTTCCTTTCTGGCTGGAACAGACTCTCTCTGTGCCACTGCTCAGAGACCTCTGCAGTGCCAACAGGGTAGAAGCTCTCCCTGGTTCCCACTGAAAAAAATACAAAAAGTGTCCAGCGTAACGCAGAGGAAGAGGCTGATTCCCTGTTGCTGTCGGTAAAGGAATATGAAGAAGGCGACACAGTTTCCCCACCAACTCCCCCCCTTTCCTTCCCTTCCCTCCCCTATCCCATTAGCCCACATTCTCTTCCTGTCCAGCCCTCCAGTGCTGCCTAATCTCATTTACAGGGGCTGCTGCCAGATCTGCTGGCAGCTGCAATTTCTTGGCCGCTGTTATCGGTGAGCGAACCGAGAGCGCCGAGGAGGAGGAGGAGGAGGAGGAGGAGGAGGAGGTGGAGGAGGAGGAGAAGGAGGAGAAGGGCTGCTGCTGCTGTGTGGCGGAGCGGCGGCAGCGGCAGCACCTTTGACGTGCCCGTCCCCCACGTGACGGCCGCTCCATTGCAGGGAGGGCGCTGAGCCGGCGGCGCTCCGGCAGCGCACGGGAGAGCCGCAGCCTCGGCGGCGGCAGCAGCAGCAGCAGCAGCGCCTCCGCCCGCAGTGCGTGTGTGTGTGCGTGTGTGTGATGAGCGATCGCCGCGTCCCTCCGCCCGCCGCCGGCTGACACCCACCGCGCGGGGCGCGCCAGGAGCAGCAGGAGGAGGAGGCAGGAGCCGCGGCCACCGCGCAGTGACCTTGGCCCAGGAGGTAAACGAGCGGGCGGGCTCCGCGCCCCTCCGCGCCCCGCGCCGCCCGACGGGGGCCGGGGCCTCGCTCCTGCCACCCATCCCGGACGGCTCCCGCCGCCGCTGGCGCTGTCCGCGGTGCTGGAGCTGCAGGCGCCGCGCCGGGCTCCGCGCAGGGTTGCCCGCGGGAGAGCCGGAGCCCCTGGCCCTCGGCCGCCGGGAGCCGCGCACCCACGGCGGGCGGTGCGGGGGCAGCGTGGGCTGGCCAGCGGACAGGGGGCAGCGGAGCCCGGACTCGAGAGGTATGGGAGGCAGGGGAGGGCTGTGGAGGTGAGTGCTTGGAGCGGGGCTCGGCGGCTCTCCGGGCTCTCCGCAACCGCCGGTGTGGTCTGTAGATGGAGCACATTCTCACACCTGCGTGCAAAGCCGGAGCTACGGCATGATCCCAGCTCTTGCCTAGTGCAGCTCCCGTGAGACCCGGGGGAGGGGGGGGGGGAGGAGAAGCGGCTGGCGGGGAGCCGGTGCTGTTCGGTGAAGTACGATTAAAGTAGTGAAAGAAACCTAAAGGTGTTCTGGCTTGTTTCTTCCTTTTCCCTCGTCACCCACTTCCCTGCCCTGATACTGAGTGGATATTGAGTACGAGCATATGCGTACGAGCACAGATGTGACGGTGAATTACAGAGAAGTTCAAAGCGTCTGTTTTGCTTTTTGTGAATGTTACAAAAGTTGCTACGGCCCGAGCCGTGAGCAGAGGACACTGCTGAATATGCGTCATGGCCTGAGCCAATCCTTCCAAAACTGGAAGGTGCAGAGCATCCCTTGGTGGAGCCCGTACAGGGGAGGATGGAGCGCTTTGTCAGGAAGCGTCTGCGTGATGTGGTGGTTAGTGATGTGTCAGGGAGCTATTCGGAGTGACAATTCATTAACGTCTAAATTAGATTAACGTATTACATCCATTATTTACAGGGAAAAGAGAGTAACGTCAGTAAATGGTGAATTAGCAGCTTTGCTCCAATGTAAATATCTGTTTGAGTAAGAGCATACATTAATTTTGATAACATGTTGGGAGAAAGTCAGGCCCGTTACTCATCAGGGAAACAAGGAGACTTGAGGCGATTCCTTACTGAAACCACTTCTACCTTTTGCAGTGCAACATCCAAAAGCGGATCAAATTTGTGGGACATGGCACAAGGAAATAATTATGGGCAAAGCAGCAATGGGGTGGCTGATGAATCCCCAAACATGCTGGTGTACAGAAAGGTAAGCCTTTGCGTTTTTCAGAAGCTAAGAAAGGTAAACTCGTGGACTCTTTTGCTTTGCAAATGAGGTCATTTTTGCTGTTTCTCTCCAGTTTCATGAATAATGACTGTATCTCTTGTTTGAAATGGGGAAATGCAAACGTGTCAACTTTGCATCATGTTCAGAAACAGCTGGTTTTCAATTTGAAATACTTGATGTATTTTAGTCACTTTCTGCATTGATACATATGATACATGGGGGTGGTCATGTACCAGACTAGAACATGTTTAGAGGTCAAGTGTTCACTTGCAAAGTCTATTTGTAAAATTAAATAATATATATTAAAACTAAATATTACCTGTACAGTACAATATTTCTCTCATGCAGGGAAGTCAGAACCATTAACTTATTTCATATGAGGGGAAAAACTAATTAAAGATATCACTTATCCGCAATTGCCACAACTTAAAAAAACCCAAACACATACAGTCTAGAAATTTTCTCTGGGAAGAATTCTAATGTAGTTATTCTAATAAGATCAAAATACAATTTTCCAGGTATTAAACTCCAGCAGGGGGGCTTATTTAGCCACTGTGCTTTCATTTTAGTGAGAGTAAATTCTTGAGGATTTTGAGATGTATTTTTACATTTTTTTAAAAAAAGCATTAATTGCATTTATCAAAAAAGAATAACAAAATACATTCTAATAATAATGGAGAAAAATAATTTTGCTGTTGCAAACTGAAATATGTAATTATGCAACTACTTGTTTATTCTTAGAACACAGTGCTTTCTAACTTGTTTGTGGTTGTTTTTATCAGGTGGAAAAAATCAATACTTTTACTTTGTTAGAGGCATTGACTTTTCCCTTTAGAAGTTAACTGTAATAGAAAGCACCTGATGTACTCAGTTTAGTCTTTGAGGTGAACTGAGGTATCATCAGTAACTGTGGTAAGTGTTCTTTTCCCTGAAACTAAAAAACTCTTGAATTGAAGTCTGATGCATGGTTTTTTCTCTTCCTATTTTCAAATATATTGCTTTTTCAGTTAATTTGTTGTAGCTGTTATTTTGTAAAATTAGGCACATTTAACATGAGTGAATGAATTTATGAAACTAACTGTGGTTATCCTTCTATCTAAGAATGCACATCTAGAAAAATGCAGGATTACTTTGCCATTAGCACCACAAGTGTGTTTCAAAATGCAATAGTATACATGAATTTATACATGAAATTATGCTACATATATTAAAAGCGATATACCAAAGCTTTTATTGTTCCTTATAGGGGTTTGATCTTTCTAAACAGAATCTCCCCACATTTAAGATTTACTTCCATGCTGAGGAAAATGTCTTTTCTCAGCTTATTTAAAACACAGAAGGGCAACACAGAAAAATTTTTTTCTCTTCTCCTTTAGAGAGTTTCTTCAAGGAACTGTGACACATGCTGTGACACAAAGCTTGTGACACATGGTATTTAGTATGACCTCATGCCAAAATTTAACATTGCCTTTGAGCAGCCTCCAGATGGAAATGGAACTGCTGAGGCAAGTGATGAGAATCCTGGTGATGCAGGGAAGATGTGAAAATGGGAAGAGGGGACACACCACCTCAGGTGTCTGCTCAGCAAATCAAAGCATCAAACACCTTATCAGTTCTCTGCAAATTACTGGTAAAGTTCCAGTAGCAGAGGGCCTTTCCTTGTTGTCACTAAAGTGCAAATGGTACACTGAGTATGAAACTTCTGAAAAATGCTGACCATCCAGAACATTTTTGGTTTTATATGTCTACTTATTTTTGTAGCATGGTGAATCAAAAAATCATTTAAGATTGTGCACACTATGTTAGAGTACAGGGACAAAGCTAAGCAGCCCTTCCTTTGGCAGTGTTCAAGGAACAGCCAACAAAATAATAGATAACTTTTAAAAAAGTCACCTGCCTTTTCCTGAAATATGATATTGCTGTAAGCAAACGTGTTCTTAGTTCTGGGTCTAGAATATAAGAGAAGGATAGCTAGGAAGAAATTATTTCACTTCAGAATATATAATCTCTGAATATAAATCCTTTATAGGAACAACTAAATCACAGGATTCCTTGTAATACATTTGAAAACACAATACTTCTCTGTCTGTCATTGTGTCGGGAATGAAAGCATTGTGCAGAGTGAACAAAGAACTACATCTGACAGCTTCATGAAGGACTCTCTTTTTTGGCCAAGTGGAAAAGTATTAATAGTTGCTAGGAAAAAAAATCTAAATGTGCTATTGGGTGGCTTCAGTAAGAAGCTGAATTTGTAGTCTTATTTTGAATAAGGTTGCTGAAATCCACAAATGTGGAAAAGGTTTTTTTTAGTACTTTATACAACATCAACAGATGGAATAGCACACATTTTGTAATATGTGTACCTGCAAGGAATAGATGGGACTTCTCTTACTACCTGTGTTAATGAAGAGGTGAAATTTAGCCATGCTGTGTGAAGACTGTTGCTTATGCTGTAAACCACAGTGTGGTAATTGTTCTAGGCTGTCTAACATCCAGACACAATCTGAACTAAGTGTATTCTAAACTACACGGAGTTACAGCCCTGCACTGTCTAAATCCTGATTCTGTTAGAAGAATTTTATAGAAAATTCTATACTGAAAGAAGTGCTAGTGTTTACAAATTAGGTATTTAAGGTTGAATTGTTATAGAATCATTACTGCACTTAATTAGATTTTGAACTCTTGACAAAAGAGGCGCTTTTTTAATGTATTTGGTTTGTGATTAGTTACTTATTTGAAGAATTGTAGAAAGGCAGATTATCAAATTGTAGTCTTGAGTAATATAGGATGCAGATAGCCTGTTATTCTCATAGTAGTTTTTATTCCTAACTAAAGAAGAATTTCCGTACATTTTGCTTTCAGATGTGAATTTAAAAGAAAAAATCAGCATAGGATAATTAAATATCCAATATATCCATAACTTAGAATTACTTATTTGAATCTGTGATGGAAAAGACAGCAGCAGAGATAAATAGTTCCCTATATCATTTTTACACTGCCTTTTAAGATGCTTCTGTCAGTGTTTTTATGTCTTGGGGAATAGTTTTTATTTTAATAGAATGTCAGCTGCATTATTCTTTTTGTCTATCAACCTAATTATAAAGTAATGACATGTGACACATCATTGGCACTGACATACCTTAGAAAAAGTCCTGGATTTTTCTTCTAGTAGCCTGAGGCAAATATGAAAAATGTAACCCCCCCTTCTTTCGCTTCCACTCCAACAGAGTCCATTCCAGTCAGCAATTAAAAGAGATAAGAGACTAGAATCTACAGTATTTTAACATTAAAAAATGCTCATGAAGAAATCTTAGATTTTGGCAACCCTAATTAGGTGCTGCAAACTAGCTCTTAAAGAAAGAACTTGAGATATAATAAAAAGCCAATACTATGATACTTTTCTAAGTTTCAGAGCCTGACCTATCTTTTTTTTTTTTTTTTTTTTTTTTTTTTTTTTTTTTTTTTTTTGGTTGGTTTTTTCTTTTTGTTTAATCTCAGCACAAATAATTGAAAGAATAGGAGTTGTCTGTGATGAACTTCTCTTTGAGACCTACTGCTGGTCTTGCTAAACCTTTGTTTATCTTTCTGGTCTGTGCTTAGCTTGTTTTCTCAGTCAAACATATGCTGCAAGGATTAGGAGTTCTGGTTTGTAAGTTTAATGGTTATTGTATTGCTGTCTGAACTAGCTTCATTTAAGAACTGACAGCTTTATTTTGTAGCAATAAGATTAGCCCTCTCTGAAAAGTAATATTCTTGTGACTAATACTTTGTTTCTCTACCTTCCTCACTGCCCCAAGTGTTAAAATAGCTTTTGCCAAAACTGATTGGAAGCACTAACAGTTGGGACTTTCAGTGTTCCAATAAAGATAATTAGGTGTTTGTTCTGTTTCTGTGACAATTGTGGAAAGTTATATATGCCAGTACTCATGTATAGCAAGGCCTGAATTTGTAATCTTAAACTCCTTAGTTTGTTATGGTCTGGAAAGCAGTGCTGTGGAAAGGAACCTGGGGGTTCTGGTCGATGGCAAGTTCAATATGAGTCAGCAGTGCCCTGGCATCCAGGAGGGCTAACCGTGTCCTGGAGGACATCAGACAAAGCATCGCCAGCCGGTCAAGGAAGGTGATTGTCCCAATCTGCTCTGCACTGGGGCGGTCTCACCTTGAATATTGTGTGCAGTTTTGGGCACCACAATATAAGAAAGAGATTAAGCTGTTAGAAAGTGTCCAAAGGAGGGCAATGAAGATGGTGAAGGGCCTTGAGGGGAAGCCATATGAGGAGCGGCTGAGGTCACTTGGTCTATTCAACCGGGAGAAGAGAAGACTGAGGGGAGACCTCACTGACAGAATGTAAGGGAATGGCTTGATGTTGTGTCAGGGGAGGTTTAGGTTGGATACTAGAAAGAGATTCTTCACCCAGAGGGTGGTTGGATACTGAAAACTGACAGAGGCTTTTAGATAATACTCTCAGGCATACCATGCAAGTCTTGGGGATGGTCCTGCGCCAGGTCAGGAGCTGGACTCGATGATCCTTGTGGGTCCCTTCCACAGCATATTCTGTGACAGAAGCCATGCCTCCAAAGTGTGGTACTTAGTAAATGTTGTAAAGGAGCAATTGCTATACAGTGACAACATCTGAGGAAATAGTGACCACCATCTTCTAATTACCATTCTCTTCTCCTCTGCTTGCACCTGAGATGACTTCCAGTGTAGTCTGCAGAGAATACTGTATTCTCATGTGGCCTTTATCAACTGTTCCCTTAGAAATGATTGTTGGAAGACAATGGAATCACTGAGAACTGTATTCCAGAGCCTGTGAGACTAAGGAAGAAAATTTTAGATAGATTTTTCTAAGTGGTGTCATTGAGAAGGGAAGAATTGTTCTGATGCTATGCATTTCTGAATATGCCATCACAACCTAGAGAGGCATCCTGATCCCAGGGTTTGTTTGTTACTACATTGGAAATGTCAGAGGTATTCTAAGG